TCATTTAACAAATATCTCACTTAACAACAGAAATTTTGGGCTCCATGGTGGTTGTAAGTCAAGGACTATGTGGATTCTAAATAGCAATACTATTTGGAGTAGGTTTCAGAAAGGAAGTATTCAATACTTCACACAAAAAATAAGACAGAGAAAATGATAAAATTAATTCTGCATTATCCAAAGATGCTAGTTTTACAATTATCTGACCCATAAATTATTTTGTTTAAAACAGCTAACATATATAGCTGATTATTTAATGAGGCAGCATGTTCATTACAAATATTAAAGAGAATTATATCTGTGAGGATTGGAGGACATTTCAAAACTTTAATACTTACTAAGAATGCAAGGTAAAAAGTGAAAATGTTTAATATATTAGTAAGAAGTATGGTACAAATATAAATTTAAATTAACCCACACAATGAAATCTGCCTTGCCAAATCTTTTTAACTTACTGTAAAGTCCTTTCGCTTAATACTGGCACAAAGATGTGCAAATCAATACATTCAGAATGAGTGATATATTTTCATTTAAAAATACTCAAACTGTAGCAGAAAATCTATATATTTAGTACAAATAATAAAAAAATGTATGCATTTTGCAATTTAATATCAAGATACAGTATTACAGGGCATTCCTTGCACTACAAATTTATTTTTTAAAAAATTCTTGATCTCCGTAATTGTTGACTTTTGCAGTTTTGGGTTCTATCTGTTTTTGGAATTCTTTTCCAGTTAACATGTACAATTATATCCAGTGAAATGAAATAATATGAATATGAAAAAATATAGAAGATTTATTATAACTGTTGGGATCTTATCCTAGCATATTTCAATGTTGTTAATGATTTTTGCATATTCCATGAACCTAAGGCACAAAGCAAATTACAGCTTCATAGGTGATGGTCAATAATTCTGGGTATTGCTTGAAAAATATCTAGAAACCAAGGCTATAAGACATCCCAAGTAATTCATATTCCTTAAGTAGTAAGCAAATGCCTTTATTTTTAGCTGTTACCTCCAAAATGTTTCAGCAATTTTATATTAAACATGATCATAGTGACTGTTGTGATAACAGTGACTATCAGGCCAAAGGTTTTGATTACTGAAAAAACTTGGAAGCAATAACATCCCTTTATTTGGTTTATATTTAGCAGTGGACCATCACTGTATCTAATAAGAAGAAAGATCAGATAACCTGAATAAGAGTTATCTTTTCCTTAATATTTTTTTCTTTCAATACATTTGTGATTTAAAAAATATCCAAAACACTTTAAATAGGCTTCAAGTGATTATATGTCAGGCATTTTGCCAAGGGGCAGACCATTAAAGATTTCAATGATCATTTCCACCCTGATGGACATGTCAAGACAGATCTTTTCAGATAAAACAAAGAGTTTAAATGAGATCATAAAATCTTTCTTTTGACAAGCTGTGGACGCTTCAGCTCCCTCAACATTTTTCTGGAGTAATCAAGAAACATTGTGAGTTTACATTTAATTAGGCTAATGCCAATAGAATTTCTCTGAACTGCTAGCTAGTACGGTCAGGTTTTGTCCAATATGATTAATTTAGCACAATGGTTCTATCAATTTAACGATAATACAGCAATATGTCATAAAAGCATATAAAGAAGATCTAGATGATCTATGTATTTCATACAAAAAAGGCTTACTTCTGAAATGTCTATCCAATTTTGTCTAAATTTCTTGACTTTTACTAATTTTGGACAATTTCTATTACCTAAGTGTATTTTGCTTGGCTGGTAAAATAACCATGTGACTCTTCCAACTTGTCGGGACATAAAAGCTGAATAAACGTACCTTAATTATGCATATTCAGTTCATACATCATTATTTGTACTAACAAGCTTAACAGACAATTCTGTTCTGTTTTCCAATGAACATTCTGAGTCTGCAAATAAGCAGGATCTCATCCTACATTTAGGAAGTAGTTGATACGTACAGTAAATGTAGCATGTGGATTACACTTAAAAAATCTCCTTCTGCCCTCATTATCAGTCATGGGTGTTTAATCCTAACATATATCCCGCAAAGCATTTCTTTTTCTCAAATTCCTGGATGTGTATAAATCATGTTTCCACAATTCTAAAATAATTAGAAAAACAGATTGTTTAATTAACAGATTTTTGTTAATTAATATGTGAGTGTTTTAATCTAAAACATCTCTTGAAAAACTATCAATAGCTTGATGCTTTGGTTAACATAATTTTATTTGAAAATTATCTTATTAATGAGGTCTTGACAGTTCCATAATGGCAAGACTTTCCATGAAAATCAACAATTTAGAGAGAAGAACTGAACATATTGTCACTATTTTTAGATGAACAGGTAAGACCCATAATTAATGTCTGCTCTTTAGTGAAGAAAACAGATGCTTTCTTCACTATGTAATTAGTGAAATTAATGAATTCTAATGCTTCCATGCAAATGATTTCTTTATCTCAAATTAATCATTTCAGCACCCAATATGTTTTCAGCTCTTATCAGATTTACTGATAATAGTATATCACAGCTTCAATTTTATCTACTGTATTTATTATGCCATTTTTCCTTTGTTGTCATTTCAATGTTTTATAATAGCCCATAGTTTATCAACATTTTGATGTTACGGTATAAACAAAATAAGATGAGGTATTACATTTATTGTAATTACATGTAATTACAATTGCATAATTGCAATTATGTAGTAATTAAATACAAAGCCAAATACTGAATCTGAAAGATGTATCAAGTAATTTTTAAATGTGGCTGGATCAATGTGTGCAGTAAAATAAGTTCAGATAGTCCTTACATAATGCAAGGTACTTTTCTATTTCAAATTATAGTTCTGGATGGCATTTATTATAGAAATATAATACAAAACAATACAGAATAAATATATGTATGCTGAGTAAAATTATTGCCCTTAACACATCTGGGCATGAAAACAGGTCTTCATAGCTTTACAAAAGACCAGCTGTGTCAGGGTCATCCTGGTTTCTGAAGGGAGAACGTTCTAGTAGACAAGGGCTATGGCAGAGAAGGAACATCTTCTAGTCCTCACCAATCAACAATCCTTAGCTGATGGGACCTTTAATGCACTGGCAACTAATGCAGCTCATGCAGTAGTCATGTTATATGAGTCGAACATCCAATATAACTTACTACCTATACAGCCTCATTTTGCAACAGTTAAAGGTTCTGAATTCTTTTCAAGGGCAGTCCCAAGTAGCATGCGTTGCACTAATCCAGATGAGAGGACATGAGGACAAGTATGACTGTAAGCAAAGCCTCCTGATCCACTTCTTTGAGGGGAGGAGATTCTTTTACATAATGGCAAATTACTGAAAAATTATTTGAGCAATTAATAGTTTGGTTGTTGGAAAATTCAGTATTTTTATAGAAATCACCATTTAATATTATTCCCTCTAAGATAGTTTAGGGTATTTTTTTTAAAAGCAAAAGGTGGAAATTGGAATGATATCTAAAAATAGACAATATGCATTTGTGGCATTGTATGGTATGACATTATAGAAATGTTTGCTATTTTATTTTAGGGATAAAAAAAATCTTGGTAGACCTTAACCACAATTGGGCCTGGAATTTCCATCACTTAGCATTGAAAATATTAGGTAAAATATCATGTGACTGCACCATTTAGCAATGGCAGTTCCAATAGTCTCAGTTACGATCTCCTTGCCCTCCCTGATTACATCCCAGGGGTGCAACCCCACCCAGTATCTGGATCCCAGGTCACCAGCAGGAGGAGGAGGATGGGAAAGATCAACTATAGACAATGGGGGGCAGCAGCAAATATGGGATGGATTGCAAGACCCCAAAAGGGCATAAATGGGGGGACTTGAGATGTCCTTGCGATCATAAGTATGGACAGGCTTGAATTTTGATCATGTGACCATGGAAGTACTGCAACAGCCATCATGTCAGGCACAAGTGAGAAATCCATTTGTTCAGCAACATCATAACACTGAATGGTTGCTGAACAAATGTCGTTAAGTTAGGGACTACCTGTACAGTCCAACATTTATTCTTGTTCATATTCAACTATCTTACATTTGGTTTAATTTATTGAGTTAACTAATGTATGCAAATAAAATCTATAATAATCATCTTTAAACTGGTTGCTTTACTCTCTAACACTCTCTAACACTTTCAAGTCTTCTGAACATCTTATTGGGCTGAATCAAAGTTCAAGGGTATTAAAATGTGTAAAGGACAAAAAAGAGAAGCGGTTTGGTTATAGATTTTAACTTTTAAGTAGCAAATGGATTCAGAATAGATTTCTAATTTACAATGAATCAAAAGGGAAAAAAACCCAACAACACTAGACTATAGGAAAAGTGGTGCAAATGTATCAGGCAGAAAATGAATAAACATTTAAGAAGATTTATTATTAGAAATTGCAATAAATTTTGAAAAGATGAATTGATTTATTTAAAAGGTATAACTGACAATTTATTGGGTAGGAAGATGCATTATTTTCCAATTGTTATCCACCTATAGTAAAACTGATTTGTGTCTCATTGTATTTTATGGAAAAGGAGAGAGCAACTTTCAGTGATTTAGATTAAATGTATTAATCATAACCAGACACTGTGAACTATATATCTACTATTAAGGAAGATTTTTGACATTTAATTCTGTAGTAATATTTTGACTCTGTACCTCTCTTCCTAAATCTAATTCCTGCTACAGTTGGCAGATTTCTTCCTCTAAATTTTATGAGACTTAAAGTAGTATTTTACCCATTCATGCGGTAAATAATGCAGGATTAGAAATATTTAGTGTTTTGTTTCTTTTTAAAGAGTAGAAATCCATCAAACCCAAAAGAGTTTCTGATTTCTTAAAATTGTAGTTTTAGCATAACCAATAACAGCTCAAATAAAATCCTTTTTAAAGAAAGACATTATTAAAAAGTATAGCTTTAAATTATATTCCTACGCTTAAGAATTGAAAGTCATATATATGTATATCTATCTATTTATTAACATACCAGAAATTTAAAAAAAAATCACAATGCAGACTAATAACTACACAAACACATACAAATACTAATAAACAAATGTGTCTGTGTGTATATAATCTTCAATAGGTACAATGAGATTACACTACAAAGACACATGATGAATAAAAAAAGCTAACTGTGCATGTGAACTGGCTTCTGTGTATGAAACAGCTTTCCTTTCTTTTAATATTCCATGTAAGAAACAATTTTCTCTTTTTTCAACATGATCCACAACTAGAAAAATTAGGAAAATATAAATTATACTTCTTATCTCTTCATTTTCTTGCCTAAGAGTCATATTTTCTGGACTTCCATCAAGGTCTTTCTGGTATTATTCATCCCTAAATTAATTATTAGGAAGTTATCAATGAATTTGAAAAAACCTGCATATGAACATTTGGAGAACAACATACCTCTTGAAATATATTAAGTAACATATTAAATAAGTTGAGAACTACTTGCAAAAGATAATTCTCCACTTATGGCCACAACTGGGGCCAGAATTTAATTTGATTAAGCAAGGTGGTTTTTAAATAAGTCATGCCCAATTTTATAACTTGTGCCATTTTGTTAAGTGACTCATATAAATATTAACCAAATCCACTTCCCTGATTAATTTTGCTTGTCGCAAACTGACTGAGAAGGTTGCAAATGGGGATCAAGTGACACTGTAACTGTCATAAATACATGCCAATTGCCAAGCAACCAAATTTTTATATGACTATGGGGACGCTATGATGGTCATAAATGCAAGGACAGGTCATAAGTTATTTTTTTCAGTGCTCTTGTAACTTTGAAGGGCTGCTAAACAAATGGTTGCAACAGAAGGACTACCTGTAATGCAACCTCAGTTTCTCTCAGCAGGGCATTAAGGACCATGATACATTTCTCCAGTGTGATTATTGGGCTTCTTTCAGCCATGGAGGCCGGACTGTTTTCTGAAATTGGCTAGTTTATTCAGGCCGCTGTGGACTGTCTTCAGACTGAGAGACTGATTCATATCTCCTGTTCCACAGTCACAAACTTTCTCTCAATATTCTTGAGCGTTTATTTCCCTTCTCTGCCTCTCCTGAGTTTCATTTGTCCTTCCCAGGAACGTCCTAGTTTCTTTTGCATCTTTCATTATCAAAAAATATTCTCAAAACTTTTCATCTTTTCTTCTAATAAAGACACAAGCCTACACATATGTTCATTTTATGGCTTACAATATTTTCTAACAGGTAATTTTCTATTAGGCAAAGTAGAGATTCACAGTATAATATACCCCAACTAGCAGTTAAAAGGAAGAAACAGCTATGATCACACATTGCTCCTAGAAGCAAGAAGCCGAAAACACCAGCCTGAAGATGACGAATGGGACTTCGTCGAAACGTCGCCAAGACACTTCCAATTTGACACGGGAGAAAATCCGAATAACCAAAGACTGTATGTATGTATGTATGTATGTACACGGCCTATTTCTATCAGTTGAAACTTAATCACCTTTTTTACAATTTAGAGGAGAAATATACATACATACATACATACATACATACATACATACATACATACAAATAATCCTTACAATAATTTAACAAAATTTTCAGAAGTTCTGTCTTCACAGTACAGATAGCAGAAGCTGAGAAGCAGATTCACACAGTAGAAATAGTTAATGGCCGTCGTTCATGCAAATGAAACCTGCTCCTCACACAAAACCATCCTCTCTTCCCCCCTCCCCCTGTGTCAGGCCACCAACCCAGAAAGGTTGGGGAACGTTGTATTACATAATACGTAATCTATTACATAATATGATTTAATCAAGCTGAACAGAAGTGTTTGGTCAGGTCTCTGTGTGCATTGTGATGTAGTAGTTTATGATTTGGCCTTTTAGTCAAATGAAAGCTCATCAGAAAGTATGTCCTTTTCTCCTCCTCCCCACTCTTTCTCCTTTTCATAGACACTGAGCAACTGTTCTTGTACAGGTTTTGCAAAGTCATCTGTGTTAAAAGTGAAAGAACAGGTTATCAGCTCAATTCCGTTCAAAGAGTTGCATTTGCAGTATCCTATTTAGCTCAGGGAATTAATCTTTCTAAAAGCACTTTTGCTTTCAGTGTAACAGTCTAATAGCAGTAATTACTTCTTGTTCAGCATTACCAGATGTCACAGGCATTAGATTCCTCCTTTTGTTATTGGTTTTCAGCATTTTTAAGATTGCTTTTGAACTTTCTTCACTGATAACTAATAACTTTATGTCTTCTGTTGTGACAGGTCAAATTTTCAAGGCAAATCTATTGGGTGTGTCTGGAATAGATTGTAGGAAGTATAGGCCATTTGTAATGTAGGAAATCAGCTATACTGAAGTTATTCTTTATCCTTTAATCTGCATGAAGCAGCAATGTACATATTAATAATAACATAAGGCAAGCTTAATACATACGGGAAGAGAGATGGAATTTTTTATCAGAATAAAAATTATCCATAAAAATACTTTTCCTATCAAATTTACAAAGAAATCAGAATACTCACATCAGTGTTATATTTCTAAAGTGAACATAGTAATTTATTATACAAAATGTTGTGTAAAAAAGCATAAATTTTCCAGTTTTCTGAAAATTATTTAATATATCTAATATTTGTATACATCATATAAATATATACATTGTAGCATGTATTTTCCAGGAAAAAGATAATATTTCAGCTATCAAAATCTTATATCAGAAAACAAATCTTGACTCTTCCCATTTATTTACATATACACAAACAATGTGTGTGTGTGTGTGTGTGTATGTACACGACATATTTCTGTCAGTTGAAACTTAATCACCTTTTTTTACAATTTAGAGGAGAAATGCAATTTTTGGTTTGGTTAAGTCATGTATCATCAATACCATGAACTTAATCTATCAGTTGTAATAGCATCTATAAAATACCAGAATGAGATTGCAATAAGCCTAGAAAATGGGCTACAAATCCCAGATTTGCTCAAGCAAGCAGTGAACCAAAAATAAAAATATGGAGATCTCTAACCAGCAACTAGACACCATTCATCTGATTCATTACCTCTAAAGGCAAAGTTCACAGGCCAAGGTCTTAAAGTAGATTTAACTCAGAACTGCTACTCTTGCACAATGAAATCTAAAATTTCATTTAGTTAGCCAAACTAGTTTTCACAAATAGACTTTTTTATACTAGCACAATGTCATTTTTATCAAGCACATATATGTAAAAATCCAGAATATATTAATATTAGCCTATCATTTCAAATAAACTTGATAGGTTCAAGCTTTTTTTTCTGTTTTCAACAGGATATCTATCGTACAGCAAGATAATTTTTAATTTCCAGAACAAAAAATGATTTTGTTCTGGATAATAAAGATGATTTAAATTAGGTTTCTCCAAATCTGTCTATAGAATTCGGTACATTGCATTCTAGTGATCAAACCTTAAACATCTCAGAGTAAAAGATACGTGGATTTTCTAGAATTAAGAGATAAGCAGGTCATCTATAACTATAGAATTACAAATATAAGGGACAGAAGTTTGAGACATTTGTTAACCATATACTGAATAAATAAATCTTCTCTATCACATTATCATTTAATCAGATCATCATTTAATCAGATCATCATTTAATATATCTCTACTTTGTGTACCATTTGTACAGTTCTGAAAAAAGAGTCAACTATTAGAAATGATGGGAGATTGAAATGTTACTGTAAGATCTATGAAGATTCTCAGTCATCCAGGTCATAGTTATCTTAAAGGTGCTTTTTCACTAGGCAAGTGAACTTTGTTTTCTTTGAAGACATTTCACTTCTCATCCAATAAGAATGAGAAGCGAAATGTCTTCAAAAGAAAAACAAGAAAGTCTAGTTGCCTGGTGAAAAGATAAGGTAATTGTTTTATATAATTGTTTACACAGACAGTTGATACTGGCACATGGTTTAATTTAATAAGAAAATGTGGCTTACAATAAATTATGAGAACCAGCTCACCATTGCAGTTGTGTTTCCTGTTACCTTTTTGATGTTTCTTGCTGGCATTCCATGAAGATGACTAAGCCTTGTCTGGAAATCTAGAAATAAAATTACAGTTTGATTAATATATAGTAATGTACACTTATAAAGGGATAATCTAAGAAAATTAAGACTTTTTTCCTCATCTAAAATAGTTTAAAATTTTCTTTTGGTTTAACATTTATTATCCTTTGTGATGTATCAGTAATACAAAGACATAAAAGAAAATGTGCAATTATTATCTAGAGAAGACAATAATCTTCTTATTGTAGGCATTGCCAATGACAGGTTAAGCAGTTGGACTTTCATCCTGCATATTGCACATGCTTTCCTAAATTCTATGATTATGAGTATAAATTAGTTATATAGAATTGCATGAAACATATTCAATTACATTTCCCTGCTACATAACTATATTGGCATCCTATATGATGACAAATATAAACTTTTCTTTATTTACATTTATCTGAAAATAAAATATGGCAAACCTCTACTCCAATTTTAACATGTTGCATTATCAGGCATGGATCAACATATACATGTTATGTGAAATTTACTTATACTATTAAATACTTAATCCTATCAGTGTTGGAATCATGCCAACATTGGAAACTTGATAATTATATACATTTATAAATCACTCTCTTAAAGGTAGTCCTATCATCTTCCAAGAGATGAATAACCAGACAAGGCACAATTAGATTATTTACTGGACTGCAATCTTTCAAAAAAGTTATAAAAGGAAAAAAACCTGAAATAGTGTATTTGTAACGGATGGTACTATTTGTTGTTGTTGTTAATTGCGAAGTCGTGTCCGACCCATCGCGACCCCATGAAAAACGTTCCTCCAGGTCTTCCTGTCCTCTACCATCTTCTGGAGTCTTTATTTTTTTTTAATAATTTTAAAACGAATAAATGAAGATCTTTCGGATAATAACTAGGGATTTCTCACTCAAACTCTTTCAAATTTTAAATATTCCATTTCAAGTTTGAAGTGCCTCGCTTCAATTGCAAAATAGCTGTTTCAAGTGTAAAACAGCCTATCACTGAGAAATGTTTCAAGCTCAGTTACAAACTTGAAACAGAACTGCCTCAAACTTTATGCTCTTTTAAAATGAAGGGTTTTGAATTACACAATGGTCTGGAAGAGAAACTGTGCATTTTCTTAGTATTAGATCATCCTGAAACCAGGATGAATTGGCACAAAATATCAAAGAATCTCATAGCGCATTGAAAATTAATTTCACTGTGGACCATACTTTATTTTATCAGGTGGCATATTTGCTGTAACAGAGCAGCACTGCTACCTTCTTGGAAGATGGCTTCAATTATTACTTCAGAATGTAAACACATGACATTGTTGTTTCAAAACGGAAAACTAATTCTGGCTTTTTCCCAGTTACTACTTATGTATGTATCAATAACTTTAAAAAGCAAAAAGCTAGCTTTTACCAGACAACACAATGAGATAGGGATAGAGGAAAAGCTGAAATCTAGAATATTGAATAACATCTAGGAAAGTATTAGAGGCAGGATACAGAGTTGTAAGGGAGGACACAATCAGTCCAAACCATGTCCTTTTCTGTTCCATAAATTCCTGAACTTTTGACAATGAAACCCCAACCCCAGTTGGGATCCAAATATTTTTACAATATACAACAAAGGAAACTTTAGACTGGGATCAAAAAGAGGTAAGCTGATTGCAGACTTCGGATTCTATTAACAATGTTCAATTTAATATAACTCTAATTTCAAAACAGTCTTTTAAAAGTTACTGACCTCTCCTGCCTGAATGTGACATAAGTGGGAAGCTGCCTGTTAAAATACTTTCAAAGATGGGGTCAGGCATTTCTTTCTCCAGTCCTGTTGAATCTTCCTTTTCCCACCAAGGAATAATTCCAGTAATGCCACAGGCACCTCCAGGTTCACTTTCATGGAACCAGTCACTTTGCTCATCATCTCCTATAAGAAACATTTCACATGTTTTTCAAAAAGATATATTGATGTTTGTTACCCCCCCCCCCAATGTTTAACTGTAATAAGATTTATTTCTTCTTTCTCTTCTATACAGATAGTCCTCGACTTACCACAATTCATTTAGTGACCATTCAAAGTTACATCACTGAAAAAAGTGACCTATGACCATTTTTCAAACTTATGACTGTTGCAGTACCCCTATAATCATATGATCAGAATTCAGACAGTTGGCAACTGATTCATATTTATGACGGATACAGTGTCCCAAAATCATATGATAATCTTTTGCAACCTTCTGATAAGCAAGGTTAATGGGAAAGCCAGACTCATTTAACAACCACATTACTAACTTAACAACTGAAGCGATTCACTTAACAACTGTGACAAGAAAAATGGGGCAAAACTCACTTAACAAATATCTCGCTTAGCAACAGAAATTTTGGGCTCAATTGTGGTCATAAGTCGAGGACTGCCTATATCGTATTTTCTTTGGCAGCAGAATTCTAATTGGGATTTCTCATTTACTAGCATGAGATTCAAAGGGAATAAAATTCTTTTTGTAGATCTGAGAAATAATTTAAAAACCTAATATTTTAATGATAACAGCAAGAATTCTATTTAACTTAGTGTGGTTTCAACATTAATAAAATGAACTATAATCCCATCTAGGGAATTAAAAAAGTATAAATTTGTAGAATCAGTTGTTTGCAGATTATGATATATAATTAGCTTAATTTTATGATTTGTGTGGTACATAAAAGGAGAAAACAATCATAAACAGGTGTGACCAAATAAACTTAATTTTATTAAGTTTAATTAAGAAACTTTGAAAAAGTTGTTTTCAAATGAAAGATGACAGCTTCACAGAAATATTGAGCATCCAGGATAATGGTTCATAGAAGTTAAAAATTCAGAAGAAAATCTCAAGTACGCCCTTCACAAAATTATCTGAAATGTTTACATCTTTGTTAGAGTGTCCTTTAGGCTAGGCTTCATTTTCCATGTAGGGCCAATGGCTAGAGGGATAAACTGATAAAAAGGGTGGATAATGCCATCCTGGAACAGTATTCACTTGAAGCAAGGATTTGTTTTAGCTTGGCTGAAAGTTTTCAGAATCACCAAGAGGAATTAAGACCTGGATTGGACATATAATAAAGATTGTAGCTTTCCGTCTTTCAATAGCAATAGGGGAACATTTGAAGTTACTCATCCTCTCAAAAGAAGTCATCCCATAGTCTGCCCGAGTACATCTGAGAAAGCACTTAATGACTCAGATGTAGCTTGATCAAAATCTCTTTTTCGAGATTTATATCCAGATTTGCTTTTATCTTTTGTTTGCTTTATTTATTTTTTTAAAAAAGGTTCTTCACTTCTTCTCAGTGAACACAAACAAGGTGAAAAATTAAACTGTAAAAGTTACCCTTCATATAAAAGAGATGATACAACAATTCAGGCATTTTTGGACTCCAACACAATGGAGAGTCAGATAACCCAAAAGTTAGAACTGCGCAATGTAGTTTTCTCCCCAGAAGAAGAAAGGATGTCATTTTTGTCACTTCCAGTTTTTGCCTGCATTATTGCCAGCCACATTCTCCTGAATTTGTTTTGAAAGCTTTAATGTACAAAATGGCAGTGAGGCAGAATTGAGTAAAATTGTATCTGACTGCTTTCACTGTTTCTGCTAATTAAATAATATATACTGATGCCAGGGGGCCACAGCCCTAACATTAGAAGGTCTGTGCCCAGATAAGGTACAGGCTGTGCACCTCATCCAGCCTGGCACCTAGCTAGTTGCTAACTAGCTAGACAAATTTTCCTGGTACCTCACAAAACATTGTGAAGAAACAACAGTAATCCTAAAATATAAGTAACTATACACACATATCACAGTAAGTCAGTAATAAACTTTCTGCCAATGCATTCAATGTTTCTTTTCCCTGTGCTTTACAATTTGTAATAGTTATTCACTGGTAGAGAAGTATTCTTGATCAACCAGAGAGAGAGAAATACCATCTTAAATAGTTCAGTGTGAAAAGAACACAAGTGAACCCCACCATATATCAGTCAGAGAATGAATATTTAATATTCATTGATCACAACTAAATACTGAATTACCTATTTACTGTAACACAGTCTTAAATGTATTATCTTTGAGTAGGAATTAAATTAAATTAATTCTTTGGGACCATGAAACAATAAATAATTTAAAATGTGTAGGTCTCTTTAAATTAAGTTGTGATGAAGTAGAAGAAAACAATTGGACTAACGTATACTTAATGAAATTATAATACTAAAACACAATAATAATAATAATAATAATAATACCGTACTTTCCGGCATATAAGATGACTTTTGAGAGCGTTGAAATCAGCGCCGAAGTCGGGGATCGTCTTATACGCGAGTCGTCTTATACGCCGGAAATAATGGTAGTTTCTGGCGTATAAGACGTCTTTCTAGGCATGCGACTTGGCGTCAAAGTCGGGGGTTGTCTTATACACCGGGTCGCCTTATATGCTGGAATATACGGTAATAATAATAAAGTTGGAAGGGACCTTGGAGGTCATCGAGTCCAACTCCCTGCTCTGGCAGGAACCCTATACCATTTCAGACAAATGGCTGTCTAGTCTCTTCTTAAAAACTTCCAGTGTTGGAGCATTCACCACTTCTGGAGGCAGGTTGTTCCATTGGTTAATTGTTCTAACTGTCAGGAAGTTTCTCCTTAGTTCTAGGTTGCTTCTCTCCTAATCAGTTTCCATCCGTTGCTTCTCATCCTGCCTTCAGGTGCCTTGGAAAATAGCTTGACTCCCTCTTCTTTGTGGCAGCCCGAGATATTGGAACACTTGCCAATTCTGTTACCCAAATTTCAGCAGCTAATAATATTTTAGTAATAGATCATTGCCAGGACAACTCTGACATTTAAACCACTTGTTTATAAGACCACAATAAATAATATCAGGAATTAGAAAATTATGTCTGTAGTCTAGTAATACCAAATCAATCAAAATATTTTACACTGTGATGTTTTAGGCTTCATATAAAATTTTATCAGAAAGAATTCTATGTTTATTTTATAGGAACAGGATGAATGCTCAAACTCTGGAAATAATTTCATGTTTAAAACAAAAATGGAGCAAAAAACACATACAAACCCCAACACACTGGATTTTCTATACAATGTTTTTAGTTAAACTAGGATACTGATTATCTGCTTATGTAGTATACAAAAACTTAACTGGATACATTTCTTTAAAATGTTTCAGTACCTTGTCTTCCCTCATCATTGGTAAACAAACCAGCATCACTACTGCTGAGGCTGCTGGATTCACTGTGACAATAGGGAAAAAGAAAAGATCAGAAATACAATTGATATCTTCAGTCATAAAATTTTAAACAGGCAAGATTGCACTCAGATGAAACTTAAGCCTTAACAAAATCTAAAAGAAAATAGGATATTATTTTTTAAAAAAGAAAGATCAAACTGCAAATATCACTGTTCCATTAACTACAGAACATATTATTTTTGGCACATAAAACCACAGGAATCTAATGGGACTCTGACAGTAAGCCAGATGTGACTGCAAAGAGGTGCTGACACAATTGATGCATTTTATTATCTGCTTCCATCAAATGCTCACTGTTCCTTTCTTATATTGTGCTATTCAGCTTGATCCTAAAATCATTGCTCATTTAAAAAAAAAGGAAGAAAAAGGGAAAAAAGGAGGGAATCTGAGTAAAACTATTTCAGGTTTTTGTTACATGAAAAATAAGTATCCCACGTCAGAATAACTATTCTTAACATTTGGAAATATTATGGACCTACCTCATAAATGTTCATTGCAATTCTATTATTTAATTTAAAAAGAAGACCTTTTATAGAATGCTGTCTTTTAAATCAAAGTAAAAGGTCTCTTGAGAAATACAAGAAAAAATCAATATTAACAAAAAACAAAATACAATCCAGCTTTCTGCTACTTTCTAATTTCTGTTTCTCATACCATATTTTTATATTCATTATCCAAATGCTTTACATGTGTCAGTAAAAAATGTAGAAAATTTTGTACAAATGTACAAATTCAGATTTAATATTATGAACATTTAATAGTGTAAAACAGCATCAGGACCCAGAATGCAATCAATGTCCAAACATTTCAAATATTCTGCAGTAAGTAGTCCTGAGTTTTAAAACTTATCAAAATATCACTGTCGATGAATGACTGTTTCAAACAAATAATTCTTATTTTTCTAAAAGAAATAAAAAATTAAAATCGCACAACAATTTGAAATACGCTTGTTATTTGAAATGTAATTATGACCAACAAATGGGAGCCTTTAACATTTGCACTGAATTTTCAGTTCTGTTCAGCTGAGATTAATTCCCATCTATTTATAAGTCCTAAAGAGAATAACTTTACTTCATCAATATGTTGATACTGTATCCAGTAATTTAATACAATATAATCCTACATTTTAACTTTTTAAAGTTCTTAACTTTGCTGTCCATATTTTTTTTTTTAAATTATATCTGTGAACTGGGTTATTTCATAGATTTTAGCAATTTGATTATTTGGTTTTCTTTAAAGTGTGTTTTTAAACTTTTAAAACTGTATTATACATAACTGGATGCTTAATTACCTCACGTACCCAAATTGAAAAAGAAATGCTGTGACTTTCATCAATTCTGGTAAAGATTTGGAAATTGTCGTTAATAATCCTAAAAATTCACCTGTGTTCAGTAACATTCACCTCTCCACAAAGGGTTTCCTTAATTGTAAATTAGAAATTAGCATAGTCTACGTCTGCAGGTAAGTAAGTGACAATTATAACCAGGAAAGAATTCTGATCATATCTAGTAGGGATTCAGTAATCTTCCATTCATCGTATCTAGCCAGAACTGAACTGCAATGCTGACTGCAATAATAAGGATTGGACTTAAAACTATCAAAAGCTTCACAATGCCAGTTAGCTTAGTAACTGTATAATTGTGCAGTCACATGACTGCATCTTCCACAGCAGCTCTTGGTTTTCTCTTTTGGTGCTAATTTATAATGTCCATAAGTAGTATCTTTGATTTTTATATATGTTAAAAATTCTTTTTAATATTTCAGTGCATGTATGTCTTATCTAGGAGAGCTCTTCTCAAAAGCAGAACAGGAACAATTTTGCCACGAAAACATCAAATTAGAAATGTCCTTTATAAATGCTTATGGAGGTTTTTTAATTAAGATTTTAAGGAAGTCCTTTCAAAATTCTTCCAATGATTCTTTTAAGTTGGCAATTTTATTGTATACAAAAGTTAGGATATACTGAAAATTGCTTACAACCAGTCTACCTATTGATCTATTTACCTCTGTTAGTGCAGAGATTGATTTACTGTGGTTTTCAAGGTTTCAGACAGATCTTTTTTTCCAACCACTATTTAAGTAGTCAGGGATTGAAATGGCTTGCCAAGCACATGCTACACCTGTGAACTGCACCCTATTTCTAACTTGTTATGAGTTGTTAAATGTCTTTTTTCCTATGCTAAAGGGAAGAGGAGGCAAATGTTTCAGTAAATAACTATTGTAGGATGAAAGTCATTGTACTAAAAGGGAAAAACATTAGCAACAACATAGAGATAGTGTAATATAAATCATACTGGAAAAAATATGATTTATATTACAGTTTATAAATGTCAACATGTTGCCCCTCACAATTTGTGTCCTCATTTTACTGATCTTGGAAGAATGGAAGGCCGAGTCAACCTTGAGCTGGTCAGGATCGAACTCCTGGCTGTGGATAAAGTTAGCCTGCAGTACTGCATTCTAATCACTGTGCCACCATGGCTTTTACTTCCTTTACAATCCTATATTCTTTAGCTCTGCAGTTCTTCAGATTACTATTAATATAGAGAGAGCCACCACAATATTTACTTTTCATCCTTATCCTGAAATCATTAGCTTACTGATATTCCAGTAAAGAGCCTTAGAAAGCAGGCTTCTTGCCAACTTGGCTCTTCCTATGATAAAGATGGAAATTCATCAATAAAAAGGCTGAGCCATATAGCTGGTTATTTAAATATAAACCCTGAGCTATCAAATACATAGAGAGAAAAGGGGAATCAAATATATAAAAATACCCTTGTTAATTTAGAATTTGCTATCAGCATAGAACAAGTGGAATTCTGGTTTGAAAAACACTGTGATGCATCTCACAAGAACAGTTGTGGTAGTGATGGTGAAAAACAGAATATATTTTATTGCAATATTTTCTAATGCTTGGTAAATTCTTTTTTAAACATGACATAGTTGGGAGTGGATAAAAGTATCCAGGACTGTGAGTTTAAAAGAAATGTAAACATCTACAATGAAGTATTTAAAAGGAAATAAACAATTGTATTCTGCCAACTTTATACATTTAAAACTTTTAATTAAAATTTGCAATAGTTGCCCTTACTTCCCATTTTAACAGGAAGTAAAAAAAATGAGTCACAGGAAAAAAAAACCAAGGCGGCTAAATTTATTTTACTGAAATCCTCTGCATACTTGTTTGACAATAAGTACCACCGACCCCTGTAACTTACAAATTAGGCCAAATAGAATAGCATTGCACAGGAATTTTACCCTTGTACTTTTTGTGGTGAAAGATTTAATGCAGAATGGCAAAAAGACTTTAATTTTTTAAAAAATAGTTCAACTTTGGCAGTATACTACAGAATTCTAAAGCAAAATATAATACTTTAACATAAGGACAGCACCACAATAATCTAAATTTTATAATTAAAAGAAAAACTGAAAACAACCTGTCGCTCATGTTTTCATCTGAGCCTTTTTGCTCTTCATACTCCATTTTATCCTTGTTCACAGGATTGATTTCATCATTCTCTATGACCACGCCTTCATCCAAAATGTCTGGGCCTTGCCTATTTGCTGCAAGCTTTCTTTTTTTAACTTTACTCTTTGATAGTTCTTGATGGGAGCAAGATTTGTTGTCATTGTCCATTTCCTGGTCCTTAATATTGCCTTGTTGGGGCAACGTAATTTTGTTTGTTACTTCAGAAGGTAGATCAATTGCCATTCGTTTCACCTTTCGACGTCTACGCAGAGTCCTATTACCTACATTGTCAACAGCTAGATCAGGTTCATGCCACAGAGGTCTTTTGCCTCTTAGGTTATTTAAATTTGAATTTGGTCTGCGTTTTGCAACCAACACTTGGTCATCAGAATCACTGTGGTCTTTCTTATTAGCAGCATAGTTCTCTCTATAATCCTTGTTTGGCTCTTCAAGGCTGGAATCAGAACCTTCACTTAAACAATGTCCAGTCTCCCAGGGATGATGTGAATTAAACGAACGTCTTTTCCTTCCCCTTCTCTTTCGAGCCTGGCGTTTTAGAAGACATGAGATGCTGCGAGAATGATCACCCGTATCTGCAAAGCCACCTCTTGCTTGCTCTGAACTTTCTTCCAGTGCAGAGACTAGATCGTGAACTAGCTCCTCCATAGTTTTACTAAAATGCCTGTAAATAGCAAAAAAAAAAAAAAGCCATTTCTAGTTAATTAATATCTTGTTATAGTGACTGTTTTAGAAAGAACTACCCTCTAAGCTTTTTTTGCTCTAATCACTTACCTATCGGAAAGTAAGTAAAACAGAAATAATAAAAAAAAACCTATCCCCAAATCAGGCCTTTTATTCTTATGCAAAGCCCTACAAGAGCAAAACACTATCTTGCCTTTGTCTGAGTCTCGGGGGAAAAAATATAATAAAGCATTATAAATTGTGAAAACTTTGCAGAATTTACTTGTCCTATTTTTCCTTTTTCAAGAACAAGAGATAGACAGACATCCACGTTTGTTGGGAAGTATATTTAGGAAAAGGAAGGATTCAGTAAGTAGTTATAGATAACAAGAGAAAAAAAATGTCTCCAGAATAAAATATCACAGAATATTTTTTCTGATGCTTCATGTTTCCTTCACATAAAACTTAAACTTAACAAAACCATAACAGTTAATAGAGCTATTAAATAGATTTAAGTGGTAAGGTACCAGTTTAGCACAATGATTAATTAAGAAACAAAACTTTGTATGCTATAATTTCATTTCCGATCTTAAAGTGAAAATTAGAAAGACATTCAAAACACAAAGACAGAGAACAGAATAGTTTAGTTTAGTTTTACTTTATTCTAAGAGATTATATAAAAAAGATAATTTATACATTTGTTATTACTAATTTATAAAACAATTAATTTATTTGTTTGATTTATATCCTGCTTTTCCAGGATTGTAAAGCAATTTTCATGGAAATGTCCTTTCATTTTAACCCCACAACATATATTTACATAGTCATTCCATATATAGAGAGACTAATTACACTCAATTTAGTATTTCCTTAATCATAGAGTTTCACCATTTAAAATATTTTAAATGGTGTTTTGTTCTCAGTTATCCATGTTGCTAGGCTGGACAAATGTTTTTTGTCAGCAATCGTAAACTGTGACTAATATTTAAACTAGCTAGTAATGTGCTTTTCAGACCACAAAAATCAATTACGTCTATATTTTACCCTCTGAATGATATAATCCAAGAAAAAACAAAAGAGAAATGAGATAGGGCTGCAGGATAGTTATAACATTCTTAATTATAATGAAAGAACAGTACAGTATAAAATAGATACGAGCATAAATAAACCGTGTAAATTTAGCTGAAACACCCTCTACTTACAGGTACCTCTTCTTATTCATGCAGTCTTTTTTTCCAATCCTAATATCTGCCCTATAGTTTGTGCATCATTTGAAAAAACTATGGTAAAGTCTGATATGTTCACGAGATAGGGCAATAAGTACTGTGAGTTATTCAATGTCATATTTTTGTTTCGAATTTGATCTCTGAAGATAGTTGCTGAGAAATCCCATTAAAATCATTTTATGATGGATGCAGGAAATAGATTGGCTTGTCTGTCTCTTAAAAATGCAACTTGAATCATATTGATGATATTGCATCAGCTAAAAGAAACCTGTTACATGTTGAAGGATGAAAAGAAAGCTGAATAAACTGTAACCCAAAATTTTGATCCTCTTGGCCTCTTTTAAGGCATTGAAAATCTGGCTTTGAGCCTGGGCCCACAGGGTATATGAAAGGTCAAGTTTCCTAGCTATACTGGTATTTATGATTTTTTTTCGTGAAGGAGATGTTTGGTATAGAAATATAAATAAAAATATTGAATTTACATTATATTGTAATTGTTTTAACTGTTTTATGATCATTCGCCACCAAAAGTCACTTAATTGTGATGGATGACTATAGAAACTGAATAAATAAATAAATAAAAATATGAAGTCATATAATCATCTAATGATTTGTTCAATGTTCAGCATATTGTACTTTTACCCATTTATTTTACCCGTATCAAAAACGTAGCTTTATGCTTTAAGTTATACCTCATAAACTTCTCTCAAGGATTGTATATTTCATCTTTACTAGGCTTTACACCATAGAACTACATGGAAATTCAGGATATATCATTATAAAAACGCAAGCAAAAATGTATTTTAAAATGTGTTTCAATTAAAGTCAGAGTCTTTTCATTTCTGGACTGTGTATTGTTTAAAAGAAAACAGTGAGGTAAAGCTATTATTCTATTTATAAAATAGAGAACTTTCTAACAAATTAATTGATAGAAAAACAAAGCACTCCTCTTTCCAATAATTACCTCTGGAAAGGAGGAGGTTTGTCTTAACGTTTGCTGAAAAAATGGTGTGGAAAATAAACAAAGGAGCAGGATACAAATGACTGCAAGCACTGCTGCTTAAAAAGTAGATACTTTTGGAGAAAAGTATGCATGCCTTGAATATTAGATTAAAAATAACTACTGCCTGGGAAAGGGTGTTTTTATGATACCTAAACGGAAGTTTGCTTTTTTCTTTTTCTTTTCAGTTCAGTTAGGTCTTCTCATGCCCACAGATTCAGCTTTGATTTTCTGTAATTTTTTCCTTCTTCTATAGCTAATGTTGTTCCATATCTCATAGTATATTATATTCTTTTTCTTACTTGTTATTTCTGCTTGTAAGTGTACAAATGTTCTCTGTACGTGCATGTATTTGAATTTTTATGTATGACAGATGTTTAGTATACACAAATGGAAGATAAATTTATTTTTATTTGCTTTTTCCCCCCCAAAGCACTTAAATTTTTACTGGTACCTTTTAATTCAATGTCTGATTTTTGTTCTCTCCTTTTTTGGATTCTGACATGTATATGCACACACATATAACAATGTCACATGTACACATTTATTAGGTAAGAGAATCTGCAGAGGAGGCCTCAGTCAGGCTTAGCAACCCTAGCCTAACAATATGTGGGAAGCTGAATTTGACACAGATTTTTGCCTCCAGTTTTACACACAGATAAATATCCCATCTACTCCTGCTTTGGATAAGGGGGGGGGGGAGAGAGAGACTGTCTTAAATTAAGTTATCTTCCTTTATACTCAATGCAGCACTTTTGAGGTAAGGTTATAAATGGAACACATTTTACATAAGGTTTTATTTATTTATTTATTTATTTATTTATTTATTTATGAGACTTATATACCGCTTTAAGTGCAAGCACTCTCTAAGCGGTGTACACCAGTAAGCAATGTATATGTATATTTACATTGCCCCCAACAATCTGGGTCCTCATTTTACCTACCCCGGAAGGATGGAAGGCTGAGTCAACCTTGAGCCGGTGAGATTTGAACCGCTGACCTGCTGAACACAGTCAGCTAAAGTGGCCTGCAGTACTGCACTCTAACTGCTGCACCACCTCGGCTCCTATTTACAGTTGGATGATGACAATTATTTATTAAATAAACAGGCAGTTTACAGTTAAAAAATAAAAAAATAAAGAGAAAATCCTATTTGTCTGGACAACCATGTACCATGTACCAAAAAGCACAACAAATAACTATTCCTCATGCACTCTATCCCAAGGTCCAGGAGAAAACCTAAGTTGTTAAAGACTTCTGGACATCACCACTGTGACAACTACAGACAATTCTAGGGGGATCTCATTTCAGAGAGTAGATGCTTCTTGAGTCATAACAGATGGCATTGTTTGATCAAGAGAGCCCAAAGCACACCAACGTAGCCCTATCTTACTGGAAAGGCACCAGCCAAGGAAGATAAGCAGTCCCTCAAATAAGCTGGCCCTATGCCATGGTAGGTAATAAGCAATACCTTGAATTATGGCTGGTTGGTTTATATTAAAGTATGTAAGGCTAAAAAGTTCCGAGGAAAGGGGGAAGATTATAGAAATATTAGTTAGGATTGAAAAGTAGAAAGGTGGGTTTGTGGTCAGCTATAGATATTAGGCGTATGAGTAGTTGACTGGCCATTATCAGGCTGGGCCCTTATACCTTACAAATCAAGAGGTTGTGACAGCTGTCACTCTTGTCCTTTGTTCTTATTATTTCCAGAAAAAATTACTACAATGTGCATTCCACGTGGGGCTGCCCTTGAAGGCTATCTGGAAATTACAATTGGGCAAAATGCAGTAATCTATACACTGACTAGTGTGAATTGATTCAGCAAAGTAAAATCTATATCGAAGGAATGCAGTACCTTGCAAAAGGTTTCAGAGTACAAGTCAAGGGGCTGGTTTTAACCTATAAAACTCTATAGGGTATAAACTCAGAATATCTACAAGATTGTCTTCTTCAATTTGATATTGGCCAGTCTGTTCATGAGAGGGTGCTACAGATTCCTTCAGTCTGGAAAATTAAATTGGTGGAGTTACAGAAGCAGTGCTTCTCCCGAACAATGCCACCTCTAAGATCAAGCTCACATCTACTTTAATCAGCTACTCCAACTAACCTTAAGGAGAATAATATCTTCTTTGTTTGCCATCTGTTTGGAAGTGTGCTTATATATATATATCACTGATTTTTTTAATGGGTAGTTACAATGAGACACTATGATTTTACTGCGTTATGACTTAGGTTTGTGAACCCCTAGTAATGTCCAGTTGTAGTCCAGTAATAGAAGATGAATAAATAAAAATAATGAACCACTTGCTATTTACAGTGGCGCTTAAATGTTTGTAACCTTGTTGAATTTTCAATGTTTCTGTATAAATATGACCTAAACAGTATTCTCCAAGCAAGTCCAAAACTAGATAAAAAGAATCCAATTAAACAAATAAGTAAAGAACATTATACTTGTTCATTTTGTTGAGAAAAATGATCCAATATTAGTTTGTGGCTGGCAAAAATAGAGAAACTTCTAGAATTATCAGTTCATTTAAAGGAGAAATTAGAATCAAGTGTTTCAATCAATGGGATAATAATCAAGTTTGAGTGTGGGAGGTCCTGCCTTATTTAAAGTGTATTAATACAGGGATATGGAAATGTGTCATGGCTTGAACAAAGGAGATTTCCGAGGGCCTCTGACAAGCTGTTGTTCGTTGTCACTATGCTGGAAATGAGTGCAAACTATTTCCAAAGGAGCAGTTGACCAACCAAGATCACACCAAGAATAAAGGATGGATTATTCTACCATGTTTCAAAGAAACTTAGGGTAATGTCTAATGAACCAAAGGCCTCTCTTGCATTGGCTGAATGTCAGTGTTATGTGAACACCATCCGGAGAACAATGAACAACAATGGTATGTGCGTGTATGGCAGGATTGCAAGGAGAAAAAAATTGCTGCCCATCTGCAGTTTATGAAAGACCATGCAGATAAGCCAGAAGCCTATTAAGAATATTCTGTGGATGGATGAGACCAAAATAGAACTTTCTGGTTTAATGAAAAGATAAATTTGGTGAAAGGCAAACACTCCATCCTGCATAAAAGCCTTATTCCATTTGTGAAATTTGATGGCAGTATCATGGTTCGAGCCTGCTTTTGCTGTCTTTGGATCAGGATGGCTTGCCATCATTGATAGACTATGAATTCTGAATGGTAACAGAAAATTCTATAGTAAAGTGTCAGCCTACTCTGTTCATGGACATAAGCTTAAGAGAAAGTGGGTCATGCAGCAAGATGATCCAAAACAGACAAGTCATGCAATCAAAGGATGGTTAAAGGGGGAGAAAAGTAATGTTTTGGAATGGCCAAATAAAAGTCCTTCCTATAAAAGTGTTTTAGATAATATTTATACAGAAATATTAAATTCAAACAGATTCACAAACTTTAAAGCACCAGTGTATTATAGAAGGTGTTCCATGAATGGAGGCCAGGGATTATTATGCTCTGCCCATAAAATGAATCAAGTTTATAACATTATTTAGATAGCACCATAGAGTTAAACCTCCCTTTTATGAATCAACATTTTTCAATTATCTCACACTTTAACTGTGCTCTATATTCCCTACAATTTTTTCTCTAGCCTTATTTATGTGCAATTAAAGAAAATTAGCTTTTTAACCTCTACTATATGAAAACAAGCATTCTGGATCACTTGTAGATGTGTCAAAAATTTCTGTGCTATTCTTTTATCTGTCTACAGCATACATTTTATATAATTTGCTTTAACAGTAAAGACTTACCAATTTCAGTACTTATCATATATTTTTTAATTATAAAATGGAATTTTTCCTTATTTTTTCCTTGCCAGATTTGCAGTAGCTCCTATTCTTGTACTGTCACATAAATACATTATTAACCTCTTTGGATCCTTCTGAATTTCACCATGCATTCATGAAAAGTCAACAAGAAAGAGCCAGTTTGGTTCTAATGATTAGGGCAGCAGCCTAGTCCTATGAGGTGTAGTTCCACCTTAGGTGTAAAAGCTGACTGGGCCAGTCACTCTTTCAGTCCATGAAGTCAGGCCTGGGCCAGTTGGTCAATTCCTATCACAATCAATATATGAACACTTGAAACAAACAAACCCTAATTTGCCGAAAATGCTAGGTGGAAAAAAAATCATGAATAGTCAACAGATGTGTTAGGATCTGCAGTAATATTTTTTTCTTATGTTACATTTATTCTTTTATCATACTTCTGTTGTATAGTATTTCTGAAGGCACTGTATAAGTTTGCAAAGGAAAAACAAGTTTTGCCCTATCTTTCTGGCTTTCCTTCTATACTTACATGCTGCGAGCACCTAAGACAACCATATAAAAAATAGAGCAAGAAAGAAGCAAATAATTCAGCTGCTAAAAATGACTTCATGGCCTATTTTTTTTTTAAAGGATGTTTACTCTTGTAGTAAAAGAAGTGCTGGTTGGTTCCCAAAATACCATCCTGTTCATAGGTATACCTTTGACAGCAACCATACAAATCACTCCTTAAATTCTGATCACTCCTACGTGGGTAATGTTTTCTGGTACCTAGCATGATCCAATGCAAGTAAATGCAGGACAACCTCTTACAAGTTTGTAACAGAGGGAACTTCAGCAGATGCTCAAGCTAATCCTCCTTTTCCAAACCAAGGATTCAAACCAAGGAGCAACCCTTTCCCTTGCATTCTCATTCAGAGAACATGCTAAAAGCCTTTAAACCTCAACTTTTCCCCTTTTCCTTATGTTTGGAGATTCACACATAGGTCACCAGCTTCTTCCACAAGGCCCTAAAGCCAGTCTCATCCAGGAGACTTAAAGGAAAACATCGAGAAATGATAAGACGAGTCTCCATGGTGCAGCTGCTCTACTTGATTTTCGAAGAATAATCTACGCAAAGCTCGTAGGTCATGGCTCCGCTCCTTCGACGCCAACTCTACTTCCAGGGCAACCAGCCCGGTCGGACTTTAACACTTAAGATCGCCCCTCTTCCTCCGCCCCATGGCTAGCCGTCCTCTGCCCCCGCTCGCGACCCTGTTCCCCGCCCCTCACCAGCTCTTTCTGGCGGCCGGAGGTCTGCTCGGGTTGGGCTGAGCCACCCGGAACATGTACTCAGCGCCCGCAGTCGGCCGCTCCCTGAGGAGACAGGTGCCGCTTTGCAGAATTCGGGAAGGAGGAGGAGGAAGAGGAGGAAGATGATGGTTGACCGGGCCGCGGACGGACTGCCGCACGTCTCACTCCTTCACGATGGTATCCCGGAAGCACCTTCGGCGCTGGAAGGAAACCGGTCTCGACCATGACTGCTTCTCTGTAGGGATGGGAAACAACAGTGAGGGAGCTGTCTCCCCCTCGCCGCCACTTCGCCTAACTTATTACCCCCTTTCAGCTCGCGGACTTAAATCCGCAGCTTCTCTCTCCGCCTCTCTCTCTTTCTCTCCCAACATAAGTTGTATCTTTCTCCCTCTCTGCAACTGGGCTCAGTTGGTACGATCCAGTTGCCATGACGAAAATTTGTACACCATCCCTGGGAGCCGGCTGGGAGGGGGGAAGATGGCCACTTTGGCCCGGCTGCAAGAGCGGCTACCGAGCTTCAAGGAGGAGTATTTCAGTAGAAACAGGTAACTCGGGCCTCCTTCCCGAGACTCTTGTATTATTCGGCCAGAAGCGATTCTCCTCCTCGTCCCTGAGATGATTCCAGGTTTGCGGGTGCTGCTGCTTCTTTTTTTTTCTGGCCAAGAAGTATCGAGAATTTCCACCCCGCGAAGTCGAGTTCACACGTGTTGCCTGTGAATAAGTCATCGTGGTAACATAAGAGTAATAAGGAACGCAGGTGGAAAGAATAGGGAAGGGCGAGTTTCTCATAAGAGTTGAAAGGGAATGGCGTTCATGTTGTGCAAAACTTCAGCTTGCAAACGGGTAATGATGCTCCCCCCCCCCTTCTAAAAGTAAAGTCTCCCCCAGAAGTATAGAGTGTGGCTTCTTCATTCCCATGACTGTTAACTTCACCAAATTCATCTTGGAGAAAAAGAGAAGGCACCTACTTCTGCATTTGTCCATCATCTTTAGCATTAAAAAGAGTGTCTTGGCTCTTTCTAGATGTCATGGGAATCTTGACACCTTTCAATAACAGTAGAAAACAGTGTGTCTAAACAGTTCTTTAAGGAATAAAGTTGACAACAGCCTGAGGACACACAACTTGTTTGCCCTTGGTTAATCATATGAGGGGAGGGGAGAGTTGCATTGCAATATGACAGAAGTCAACTCATTGACTGGGTTAGCAGAACATGCAAGGCTAAAATGTGATTGGCTAGTTTGTGGCTATTTTCTCCAAATAGCTGGCTTTGTGTGTAAAACTCTGAATTTTTAAAAAATTAATATGGCCATAGGCAGGGCTTTTTTTCTCATAGAATGCCCAGAATGGAGTTCCGGCACCTTTTTTGGATGGAACCTTATAGGGTAGGCAAGGCGGGTTGTATGACGTGTGTGAGTTCTGGCCCCTTTTTTTTTTTTTTTTTTTTTTTTTAGAAAAATAGCACTGGCCATAGGAATAAATGTGAATATTGCCATAATCACATAGTAGATAAAGAGATAAAATTTGTCTTTTTTTTTTTGTTTAGTATGGGCAGCAAAGTGACTATGAATGGTTCAGAATTTATCTGGTGGTGTTCTTTGGCCCAACAAGGAGATCATATTATATTCATTTTGTATTGCTGTTCTATTTACCAGTGCATTTCTAGATCTAGTTCGAAGTTCTGGTGATGATCTCTAAGCTACAAATGATTTGGGGCAGTGGTATGAATAATTATTGACTGATTATGTACCATGAAATCCTTGTCAACTCTTGGCGTCCGCATAGATTTTCTTCATGGCAATCTCTCCTTAACCAAGTCTTTCAGTCTTCCAACTATGCCACAATCACCACTGTAATGGAGTCCATTGACCTTGCTGCTGGTTCTCCTCTTTTTTTCCCAACTTTCCAGCAGCTGAGGCTCTCTAGAGAGCTAGGTCTCCGCATAATAAGTACAAAATAGGATAATTTGTACCTTGAATGAGACTTTTGGGTTGATTTGTTCAGTGATACTTTTGTTTGTTTTCTAGACTGTTCACAGTATTCTCAGGAGTCTTCTCCAACACCCAGTTCAAAAGCATGTACATTCTTCCTATCTTGCTTCTTCAAAATGTAACTTTCACTTGCATAGACTGTCATAGGGAATACCTTGGCTTGCACAATTCTATAGATATATAGAGAGACATCACAGCACTTGAATATATTTTCTAAGACATTCATGGCTGCTCTACCAAGTCCTAGTCTGCCACACATTTCTTGACTGCTAAATAAATATACTCATGATTTAAGAATTTTTTCAGAAGTCCTACTTCAATAAAATCAATAGGGTTGTTTGGGACTAAATAGAGGATCTTTAGTGGCTTCTAATGTTTCAAATCCATATGTGACTGGCTTCATATGTAAATGTGTTTGAAAGCACTTCAAAAAGAAACTTGCATGGTCTAACTTCTTTTTTAATATTTCAAATATTTTTCAATATATTTTTGAAATATCTATATATTTAAATATTTATATTTATTTATATCCCATTTTTATTATTTTTACAAAAAAGCAGTGAACATAGCCAACATATCTTCCTCCTCCTATTTTCCCCACAACAACAACCCTTTGAGTTGAGTTGCACTGAGAGAGAATGACAGATCCCATATACTACTAAAACTCCATGTCTGATTGTTTGGTGCTTCATGGGGCAAGAATTTTTGAATCAACATAAAAAAAAAGTGCAAAGAAGAGCAACAAAGATGACTAGGGGACTGGAGGCTAAAACATATGAAGAATGGTTGCAGGAATTGGGTATGTCTAGTCTAATGAAAAGAAGGGCTAGGGTGTGACAGTGCTTAAGATGAGGGGAGTCAACCTATTCACCAAAGGCCCTGAAGGCAGAACAAAAAGCAATAGATGGAAACTAATCAAAGAGAGAACCAACCTAGAACTAAGGAGCAATTTCCTGATAGTTAATTCTTGCCTCCAGAAGTTGTGGGTGCTCCAACACTGGAGGTTTTTGAGAAGAGATTGGAAAATCATTTGTCTGAAATGATATAGGGTGTCCTGCTTTAGCAGGGGGTTGGACTAGAAGATATCCAAGATCCTTTCCAGCTTTGTTATTCTGTTATTCTGCTTCAGTCCTGCCACGGTGCCACAGTCAGCTTCTGTCATGTGATCATTTGCAATATTCCCTGCCAGCTTCCTACAAAGTCAGGGGGAAGCTGGCAGGAAGTTGAAAGTCACTCCCGCTCCCACTCATCTGTGGTGATTCCATTTCTCTGTTTAACTAAGGAAATAATAATAATAATAATAATAATAATAATAATAATAATAATAGTAAAGTTGGAAGGGACCTTGGAGGTCATCTAGTCCAACCCCCTGCTCGGGCAGGAAACCCTACACCATTTCGGACAAATATTTCTGAAAAGATGACCCAACAGCCTGCAGTTGTCTAGTGGGTATATAAATATAAGATCCTAGGCCTTGTACTCTTCAGTGTTTTCTTAGGCAGAATATTTAGCAGATTCAAAGAAACAAAACAAAGTGGGATAACTTGACTATTACAATTGTACAGGCTAAAAAGGCAAAGACATACAGAGAATAAAAGAGAAAAAAGACAAAGGAGATTGGCCCCATCATTAGATAAAAACAGAATCCAATATACAAATGACATTCATAAAACTACCTGAACCATTGACTGAAAATAAGAACAAGAACGGAAAACTAACACAATTTTAAACTATTTTATTCCCTTTATAATTAGCTGCCATAGCTACCACTGCTTTTGCTCTAATCTTCCTTGCTGCAACAACATCCAGTTCTGCTTGCTGAATTATATATACCAGTTAGACTGATATAACCGTAGATAAATAAATTGAATTCTTCATGCCAAGTATAATTTACAGATCAATACATAATAATAATAATAATAATCCCCCAGTGAGGCACTACCTTGACGTGGTTGTGGGGCTTGTGTACTCTGAGGAAGATGAGAGCTATGCCAGCGGTTCAACCATACTGGACAGGTCTCATCAGAGGAGTCAGACAAAGAGTGTCTCTCCCATAAAAAATATGGTGAGACGTAAATTTCAGAATGCCATACCGGCTCGGATGTCGCCCGGGTTAACAAGGTCCACGCTAGATATTGGAGTTCCTGGATATCTGGTGAAAAATGGGTTACAGGACTCAGGACTGTTGGCTGAGCAACCAGGGCCAGCAGCTGCAGAACTACTGGAAGAAAAGGTGTTTACCCGTCGCAGATACACAGTGATGGAAAACAAAGAAATAATGATCTGTTACTACAGATCAAGTCCAACAAGAAGAGGATATCTAAAACGAATGCACCAGTTCTGGAAAGAACAACATCCAGAATCAGAAATAACAGAACAGAGACTAGCAGATCAACGCCGATTTATAACACGAAATAAAGTATTCACAGAAACAGAATTGGACGAACTGCAAAGGTTTACCCAGGGCAAAGAAATCAAAGCCTTACCAGAAGTAATTCAGAATGTAGAGGCAAACCAGGGGGAGTTGGCAGTGAAGGAATCCAGCAGAGATATACAACTGTTCTCATTTGGAAACCAGGCACCTCTACCTCAGGAAGAACAAAACCCTCTAACTAAAGAAATAAAAGAATTGAAACAAAGAATAACTGAGCATCTAGAACAGCACAAAAACAACAGAATAAGACTACCTGCATTGAAGCTTGTTCCAAAGAAACAGCTAGCACAAGCATTAAAAGATGCAAATACTGCAATATCAAGTATAAGCACCAATTCACTGCAAGAAACAAACCAACTAATGTACAGCACAGCTGCAGTTATAACAGAATACCTGGGATGCAAAATCAACAAAAAAGAAAAACAAACAAACAGTGCACCAGAAAAATGGAAGGTTAGACTAGAAAATAAGATCAGCAAGTTAAGATCACATGCAAGCAAGCTAGAACAGATGAAAGAAAAGAAGCTGAAGAACAAGAAGACCAAAGAATACCTAATCAAGAAATACCACTTAGAAACAAGGAAGATCAAGGAAGCACTGGAAATAATAAAGCAACAAATAACAGCTATAGCCAGGAAAATCAGTAGATATGAAGCTCGAATTGCAAACTATAGGCAGAACCTCCAATTTCGATCCAATCAGAAACGTTTCTACCAATCCATCAATGGAGAAACTGCAAGGAATCAGTCAGTACCTGACAAGGAAGAAACAGTGCAGTTCTGGAAGCAGATATGGGATAACCCAAAGAAATACAACAAGGATGCGGCTTGGTTAAAAGAGGTGGATGCAAATAAAACAGAAGTTGAAATGAAAGAACTAGTAAT